CACCATCAGGCACCGATTACATACCACGGGGGCTTACTACATCATATAGGTAATGGGCCCAATGTCGAAACTAAACATGCGGTGCATGAGCGGTTCAACGCGTTCGAACATGATGATCCTGGACGCGCAGGGCCCACTGAGACTACTGAAGCCGTTTCCCCACCGTCCCAAGATGTGGTGCACTGCGCGACTGCTGGGGGCACTGGGCCTGTGCTCTGTAGGAGCGTTTTGCATTCTCAATCACCAGTCGAACCTGCGCAAACGAATCCAGATTACGATCGATGTTTTTGTCTTATAAATTTGGTTCAAAAGCGCTTTCAAAAAAACGCTGCAACTGTCGGATTACTAATGTGATGTTTTTTTTCCGCTTCGAAAATGGCTATAAAAAAGCGCTGTACTGTCAGATTATGCACGCGCTGCTCTGGCCAGGCTCCTCAATGATACCCCGCAACAAGTTCCGCGACCGCCCCCGACCCCCAGGTGCTCACAATCTGTCAAACGTTTGCTGCATCCTCGGGGGGGCATTGTCTGTCCCGTCGCAGCCCTATCCGTGTCGAACCCGTGTCGAATCCATGTCGGCCTCGACGGAACCGAGTCGAATCGGTGTCGAATCCGCGTCGAATCCTCCCATGCCAAATCTGCATCGAGCCCGCATCGAGCCCGCATCGAGCCCCAGAAGGCACATTTTCCGTCGGCGGCGGGGCAGACTCGGCTGCACCGGCGAGGAAAGCTCAACGGGGGGCACCGAGAAGTGCGCTGGCCAGCGTGCCCGGGCGGAAAAGGGATACCGAGGAACGAGAACCATGCACGTGCACCGATTCCGGCCAGGCCCACCCTGAGCCCGGGATCGGCGCATACGCCCCCTTACCTCGGCCAGGGAGGGTAGATGCACCGATCCCGGATCGAGGATGGACGCTGTCAGGGTCGGCGCATGTGCATAGATCTCTTCGCCCGAGGATAGGGGAACGAAGAATGACATAAACATAAAAACTCGGAGGTCCGCGCGGATTTCTCGCATCCGCGCTGGACCCCCCTGGCGGCGCCTCCGGCGCCGCCCCTGGCGCGCTCCGCGCGCCAGGGGGGGGTTCAGCGCGCTCCCCCGCTCGCGCGGACCTGTTTTTTTATGTCATATGACACTTTTTGTTCCCTCAATGAAAGCTAGACGGGGGCACCGAGAAGTGCCTTTTTGGCCAAGCGTGCCCGGGCGGGAAATTAATAGAACGGAGCGGGGCCGCGGGGGGGGGGGCGCCCCGCCTTCCCGGCCGGCGGGGTCCACGGTCCCGAAAAAAACCAGCACAACGCCTGGGCGGTGCGAAGAGGGCCTATGGGCAGGGAGGGAGGAGGGGAGGAGGGAGGAGGGGAGGAGGAGGAGGAGAGAGGATGAGGAGGGAGAGGAGGAGGAGGGGGAGGCGGAGGAGGGAGGGAGGAGTGAGGAGGGAGGATGGAGGAGGGAGGAGGGAGGAGGGGAGGAGGGAGGAGGAGGAGGGAGGAGGAGGAGGGGGAGGAAGGTGGAGGAGGGAGAGGAGGGAGGAGAGGAGGAGGAGGAGGAGGGGAGGAGGGAGGGGAGGAAGAGAGAGGAGGAGAGAGGAGGAGGAGGAGAGAGGAGGAGGGAGGAGGAGGAGGGAGGAGGCCGCGCAGGGGCAGACAGGTCGGCACCCGAGCTGCTGGAGGCGGCGGGCCCCGCCGGCGGGGGCCGCGGCAGCCGCCGGGCGCCGCAGCGTCGGGGCAGCCGTGGGGCGCGGGCGGGGCGCAGGCGCGGGCGCCGCAGAGATATTCGGGGATGGACAGACCCCCCTCAGTTACAAACACGGCGCCTTAAAAAACCGGACCCGCGGGACGATTCATAACGGATGTGGAGTAGGCCTTCCTCGAAGCCGCAGAAGTCAGCTCCGAGGGCCAGAGGCCTTCTGGGAGGCGCCGCCGCCGTCTGAGGAGGCCTGCTCGGTCTCCCTTCCCCCCCTTATTTCGGGGATGGACAGACCCCCCTTTAGTAAAACGTGGTTTATTGAAAACGATCTGAGGCCCAAACCTGGCGGGCGCAAGCCTGGAAAATAACGGCCACGGCGCCCTCTCGAGAACCGAAAACGGACGATTCAGTAATCGACGTGTCACTGTTGGGGGTTCTGTCCACCCCCGAGATATAGCCCGAGGGGGCACCAGAGTCCCAAGGATCCAACGCATTCAAAAAATCAAGACGGATTTTTTTCGCAGACTTCGGCCCCCAGGGGCCCTCGCCGGGGCTCGGGACCGTAAAAAAACGGCTCGGGATGAAAAACCGGTCCAGGGGAATGGGTCGAGACTTCCGGGGACCGCGCACTGAAAAAATCACGACATCGGATCCCTGGGGAAGCCACCAAAGTTTGGGACGGGCGAGGTGCCCCGGAGGTGCCACGCAGGGGGGGGGACTCTCGGCTGGCGTTCCTTCCTCCGGGATGCTCCTGGCAGCGGATTCCCGGACAGGCGCATGCGCTGCCAGAAATTCGCTTACTCCAGAATGCGCTGCCAGAAATGCGCTGGTTCCTCCCTGTAGCTGGAGGGGGAGGGGGATTCCCTAAGAGGGGATATGTCGATCCATATCCCAGGCTTTGAAATGCTTTCGGATAATGAAGGGGCCCTGGGACACACAAATAAATACACACAAATAACAGGATTCCCCCATATTTTCCCATATCTTCTGGGTTTTTGCCTTCCCCCCCTTCCCATATTTTCCCATATTTTGCTGGGAATCGACGGTTCATAGTGGTTGGAGCCCGGGCCCGGGCTGCAAGACGAGGGGGCCGGCCACATTCCACGGGGGGGGCGTCCGAATAGCCCCCTCGGGGTGTATCCGAGGGTTGCCCTCCTCGTCGAGCGGCTTTACTTTTCGTCGAAATTCTCGAGCGGCTGATTTTTTCCCTCCTCGTCGAGCGGCTTCATTTTTGTTGGTTTCCATCGGGGTGTATCCGAGCGGCCTTGTTTTTCGTCGAAATTTTGGGGGGTGCGGGGAGCAAAATCGCATGCGACTCTCGGCGGCGAGCCCGGGAGGGAAACGGGAAAGGGCGGGCCTCCTCAAAAGGCTCGGAAGTCCTACGGTCTTCCGAGAGATTTCCTGAGCCATCCCCGAGGACACAGAACACTTCTCAGAGGCCAGGGGGCTTCTGAGAAGCCCCGCCCCTTTCTGAGAAGGCCTCTTCCTTCTCACTACCCCTGCTCTCTCGCCGCCGAGTGGTAGGAGGGGGAGAAGAAACCGGATTCGGATTCGAAAGGATTGCACAGCAGTGTGGAACAACAACTCAACTTGCGCGGGAGGCCGCGATGAACTCTGTCGCCACACTCTCGCCTGGTGCTCGTGATTCTGGGCGTGGAAGAGGGAAGAGGAAAGGGAGAGGGAGCGAGGGAGAGCAGGCAGGGGGAAGAGAAGCGGGAGAGCAGGTGTGGGGGAGTAGGGAGAAGTAGGATAGGAGAAGGGGGAGCAGGCGGAAGAGGAGGAGACGGAGGGGTAGGAAGAGGAAAAAGGAGGCAGGAGGATCAAGGATGATGATGATCATGCTGCTGCGGCTGCTGCTGCTGCTGCTGCTGATGATGATGATGATGATGATGATGGTGATGGTAATGGTGATGGTGATGGCAATGGTGATGGATGGTACGGGCGATGGTAATGGTGATGGTGATGGTGACGGTTTTGGGTGCTGATGGTGTTGATGGTGTTGAGGATGATGATGATGATGCTGATGATGATGATGATGATGATGATGATGATGGTGATGGTGGTGGTGATGATGATGGTGATGATGGTGATGATGATGATGATGATGATGCTTGGTGATGATGATGATGCTTGGTGATGATGGTGGTGATGATGATGACAATGATAAGTATGACGATGGTGAAGACGATGCGGATGATGGTGATGATGATGATGATTATGATGGTGGTGATGATGATAATGATGATGATGCTGATGGTAGTGGTGATGATGCTGGTGATGGTGGTGATTATGATAATGATGGTGATGATGAATATGATGATGCTGATGATGATGCTGATGATGCTGATGATGACGATGAGGAGGAGGAGGATGAAGAGGAGGATCATTCTCAAGGCTGTCAGGCCGTCGTGCTGCCTGGCCCCCTGACTCGACGATCCAACCGAGATCACACCAAGCGAACCACAACATATGTTGTCGAACTGCTTCTGATATTCGGGCGTCTGCGAACCTCTCGGACCACCGACCGCGATTGTCGTCCCGTGCGATTCCCCATCCAGCGCACTGTCACGAACGAACGACCGAACCAGAGATGTCCAGGCATAACTAAGACCAAGTGGGGGAGGCCATGACCTCTTGGATCTGGCGCGTGTGAAAAAAGCACCGACATGCACTGGAACTGCGAGACACATAAGAAGTTACGACAAGGGGAGGAGAAGGAGGGGAGGCGGAGGAGGAGGGCGACTGGGGCACATGCCGAGTCGGCAAGCCGGAGCGGCGTCGCGGGAACCTGCCTTCAGTCAGGAGGCGGAACTGCTCGCGATGCTTCGCCCCCCCAGCCTCAGGTCGGGAACGTCTCCCTACAGGCCGACTTTGGACGGCGCATAAAAAATGGTCACAAAAATCCACCCCTAAAAAGACAACAGAAGAAAAATGGTCGAAGCATCGTCCCCAGACTGCGTTTGGACTGCCTCTGAACCCTCCCCCTGTATTAGAGGGACAGGCCCGACCTCACCCCAGCCCTGGAGCCCCCACGGCCGCCACGCAGCCGTCGGCGCCCCGGGCGCCCTGCCCCTCCACAAAAATGACATGCAAGAGAGTCGCACGGAGCTCTGCTCTCATGTCTTCGATTGTGAAGGGTGGAGGAGGGCCTGCAGGAAGAGAGGGAGGAGGAGGAGGAGGAGGAGGAGGAGGAGGAGGAGGAGGAGGAGGAGGAGGTGACGAGGATGACAGGGGAGGAAGAGAAAAAGAGGAAGAGGAGGAGGAGGAGGAGGAGGAGGAGGAGGAGGAGGAGGAGGGGAAGAGTGGAGGAGGGCCTGCAGGAAGTATACCACCATCAGGGTGAGGGCATAGGACGTGAGGTGGCGCTCGTGCGCGCCGCACACCTGGGCCGCCTTCGCCCACTGCTTCACCAGCAGCACGACGTCCCGCACTACAGGGTGGAGCTCGGCGTAGGCGCACAGCAGCTGGGTGTTGCGCATGGCCTCCGGCCCTCCTCCTCCTCCCTCCGCCCTGCTACCTCCCTCTTCATCATCATCGGTTCTCCTAATGCGGCCCCCCCCCAGGCAGCCTCGAGAAGAGCAGGGCCCCGGCTCGGCCCCCACAGAAAACGGGAGCTGGCCCAGCCAACAGCTAAAACAGAAAGGGGAGACGGCCGAACCGCTGGGCTGCTTTTTTTCTGTTTTTGCGGAGCACTCTCGTGAAGAGCCGAACCGAAACGAACCTCCTCCTCCCCCCCCTCTCACCTCGTAATCCTCCTCCTCCTCCTCCTCCTCCTCATCATCAGCAGCAGCAGCAGCATCAGCATCATCAGCATCATCAGCATCATCAGCATCGTCAACATAATCATCATCAGCATCATCATCGTCATCATCAGCAGCAGCATGATCAGCACCAGCATCAACATCATATTCATCATCAACAGCATCATCATAAGCATCAGCATCCTCATCCTCATCCTCATCATCCTAATCAGCATAATCATCATCAGCAGCAGCAGCATCGTCATCATCATCATCATCATCATCATCATCATCATCATCATCATCACCATCATCATCATCATAATCCTCATCATCCGCATCATCATCAGCAAAATCATCCTTGCCCCACCTGCTCCCTCCCCCCCCTCTCCCCCAACCCTCCCCTTCTCCCTCCCTCGTCCTCCGTTCTGCTTCTCCTCCTCCTCCTCCTCCTCCTCCTCCTCCTCCCTTCTCCTCCTCATCCTCCTCCTCCTCCTCCTCTTCCGCTCCTCCTCCTCCTCCTCCTCCTTCTCCCCTCCTCCTCCTCCGTCCCTCCTCCTCCTCCTCCTCCTCCTCCTCCCCCGCCCCTCCCCCTCCTCCTCCTCCTCCTCCTCTCCTCCTCCTCCTCCTCCTCCTCCTCCTCCTCCCCCTCCTCCTCCGCCTCCTCCTCCACTCCTCCCCCCCTTACTCTTCACATGTCTATGTTTCCTGTATATCTATCCTCCTCCCCCTTCTCCCCTGGTCCCCCCTCCACATCCTTCCTCCTCTCCTCCTCCTCCTCCTCATCATCATCATCAGCATCAGCAGCAACATCATCATCATCATATCATCAGCATCACATCATCATCAACATCATCAGCATCATCATCATATCATCATCATCATCTCTCATCATCATCATCATCATCATCATCTCATCATCATCGACATCATCATCCACAGCAATGCGTCATCATCAGCATCAGCAGCAGCAATCATCATCGTCATCATCATCCCTCACCAGCACCAATCACCATCATCCACCATCACCACATCATCATCATCATCAGCATCAGCATCATCACCATCACCATCACCATCACCATCATCATCATCTCATCACATACACCATCAAGCATCCATCGTCAACAGCCTCACATCATCATCATCATCGTCATCATCATCAACATCATCATCATCATCAGCATCACCATCATCATCACCATTATCACCACCACCACCATCATCATCATCGTCATCATCATCATCACCATCATCAGCATCGTCATGGGCATCAGCATCAGCATCATCACCATCAGCATCATCATGATCATCATCAACAGCATGATCATCATCGTCATCATCGTCGTCATCTAAATTGTCATCATAATCATCATCGACAGCAGATTCCGCATCATCAGCATCAGAATCCTCAGCATAATCATCAGCATCATCATCATCATCATCAGCAGCATAAGAATCATCAGCATCACCATCATCATCAGCATCATCTTCATCATCATCAGCATCATCATCAGCAGCAGCATCAGCATCGTCACCATCAACATCAACAGCAGCATCACCAGCAGCGTCATTATCATCAACAGCAGCACGATCCGCATCGTCATCAGCAGCAAAATCGTCAACATCGACATCGGCAGCAGCAGCTTATCATCACCAGCAGCATCATCAGCATCATCATCATCATCATCATCACAACCATCATCATCAGCATCAGCATCAGCATCATCAGCATCAGCATTATCATCAACCGCATCTTCTTCATCACCATCATCAACAACAGCAGCATCAGCATGATCATCATCATCATCATCATCATCATCATCATCATCATCATCATCATCATCGTCACCGACATCAGCATGATCGGCATCGTCGTCACCATCAGCATCAGCAGCAGCAGCATCATATCAACAGCAGCATCATCAACGTCATCGTCATCAACATCGGCATCCTTTTCATCATCATCACCAGCATCAGCAGCATAATCATCACCACCAGCATCACCATCATGATCAGCATCAGCATCAGCATCATCAGCATCGTCAGCATCATCATCAGCATCAGCATCAGCATCAGCATCATCATCAGCATCATCATCCTCATCACCACCACCACAACCATCATCATCATCCTCATCATCAGCAGCATCGGCATCTTCATCATCTTCATCATCATCGTCAACAACATCATCATTAGCAGCAGCAGCATCATCAAAATCATCAGCAGTATTGTCGCCAGCATCAGCATCATCATCATCCTCATCATCATCATCATCATCAGCAGCAGCAGCAGCAACCTCGTCCACACCGCAATCATCCACCTCATCCTCCCTCCTCTTCTCTGTTCTCTCTTTCCTCTTCTCTCCCTTCCTCCTCCTCCTCCTCATCCACCTCCAACTCCACTTCCACGTCCTCCTCCACCTCCTGCTTTTCCTCCTCCTCCTCCTCCTCCTCCTCCTCCTCGTCCCCCTCCTCCTCCCCCTCCCCCTCCCCCTCCCCCTCCTCCTCCTCGCCCTTCTTCCCCTCCGCCTCCCCCTCCCCTCCACCCCCCTCCCCTCCCCCCTCCCCTCCCCCTCCTCCCCCTCCCCCTCCCCCTCCTCCTCCCCCTCCCCCTCCTCCCCCTCCCCCTCCTCCTCCTCCGCCTCCTTCCTCCTCCTCCTCCTCCTCCTCCTCCTACTCTCTCTCCTCCTCCTCCTCCTCCTCCTCCCCCTCCCCGTCCTCCTCCTCCTCCGCCTCCCTCTTCTCCTCCCCTCCTCCTCCTCCTCCTTCTCCTCGTCTCCTCCTCCGTCTCCTCCTCCGTCTCCTCCTCCGTCTCCTCATCCGTCTCCTCATCCGTCTCCTCCTCCCTACTCCTCCTCCTCCTTCTCTCCTACTCCGACCTCCTTGTTTTCTTCCGCCTCCTTCTCCTCCTCCTCCCCCATCCCCCCCTCCTCATCCTTATTGCTCTCCCTCTTCCCACGCCCCTCCGCCTCCCTCATCCCTCCTCAGGCCGCCTCGGCGACTGCATTCGGCTGACGAGAAACCGACCCACAACCGCACGGATACCACCCATCGCAGGTGGGCCCTCCCGCCCCCCGTCCCGTAGCGAGCAGCTGCCCTGCTAGCAGAACCGTCGCAGGCGTGCGCCAACACCTCTTGCTCCCCCCTCAACCCCTTCCCTCCCCCTTTTCCGTCCTCATAACCCCTCCCATCCTCTGTGTTGTGGCACGTGAGGTCGACGTCCAGAACGCCGTCGAAGCGAACCTTGAGCACGGGGACTCGAGCATTAGCGACCACCTCCCGCAACTCGAATCGCTCAGTGCTCTCCAGCAGTGGCAGAATTCTGGTCTCCAAATCCTCGGCAGCCAACGCGGGGATGCCCTCCCGCTGGCCGTCCACGGTGTGCACGGTAACGTCAAGGTCCGAGGAGCATGTCAGGAAGTGGTTCCCAGCGCTGCCGAACTTGCTGACCCTCCACTCCGGCCCCAGCCACCTTCCATGAGATCCGACGCACTGAGAAAATCAATACTAAGGTCTTCGTTGCCTTTTCGTCCTCAAGAGTCCCTCGCCAGGCCCTGGGACCGTACAAGAACGAATCAAGATGAAACGTTGGTCCAAGGGAGTGGGTCGAGACTTCCGGGGACCCCGTATTGAAACAAACAAGACATCGGATCTATTGGTCTCGAGCGTCCAAAGCGGGGGCGTCCAATCGGACGCCCGGTGGTTTTCGGGACCGAGCCTCCGGCGGCCGTTCGGGACGATCCGGGCAACCCTGGAACGCCTTCGGCGAGGCGCAGACGCTGAAGGGCACCCTAAGGCTGGAAACCCGACGAGAACCGACGAAGACATCGAACCTCGAAACTCCAACTAACACCACACGGGGGATTCCCTCCACCGGGAAACGGGCACTAACACCAACACAGGGACACAGGGGGCTCCCTCCACTGGGAAAGATGGCCCTAGATCTCGGTGCTGGTGGGAATAAACTCGCCACCTAGGAAGCCCGAATGTTGCCACCCATCACCGAGATCGGGATCAGATCTTCCATCGTTGGAGGCACACCGCCGATGTTGGTGCTGGTGTCAAACTCTGAGCTTCCGACGCTGCCCCTGACACCTCACCACGGACCAGAGCTCCACCATGCAGTGCTGGAGGAGGGACGCATCCGCGGGGCGGGGCACTGCGGCCGCAAGGGCGTACCGGAGGTCTTCCTCGACGGTCCGCTCGGCGGGGGCCTCGCGATCCCAGACGCCGCCAGTCGCCGCCGAATCCCCCGCCCGAAGGCCGTCGAAGGCCTCGGCGCAGGCAGCCAGCCCGATGGCCGCCGAATGGCCGCCGAATGGCCGCCGAATGGCCGCCTCCTCTGCCCCCCCAGTGGCCGCCGGACGGCCGCCGCCGCAGGCAGCCCGGCCGACCGATGGCCGCCGCATGGACGCCGCATGGCCGCCGCATGGCCGCCCACGTCGTCGTCGTCGCCGTCGTCGTCGTCGTCGTCGTCGTCGCCGTCGTCGTCGTCGTCGTCGTCGTCGTCGTCGCAGCCGCCGCCGCCGCCAGCCACGCGCGAGAAGGAGGAGGAGGAGGAGGAGGAGAAGGAGGAGGAAGACACGAGGGAGGAGGAGAAGAAGAGGAGGGGGGAGAAGGAGGGGAAGGGAGGAGGAGGGAGGGAGGAGGGGGAGGAGGGGGGACGGAGAGAGGAGGAGGAGGAGGGAGGAGAGGGAGGGAAAAGTGAGGGGGAGGGAGGGGGGGAGGAGAAGGGGGGTAAGGGAGGAGAGGGGGGGGGGGGGGGGGGGGGGAGGAGAAGGAGATGGAGGAGAGATTATGGGGGGGGGAGAGGGGGGGGAAGAGGGGAGGATGAGAGGGTGAGGGGGGGGGAAGGGGGGGGGGGGGGGGGGGGGAGGGGGGGGGGGGGGGGGGGCGGGGGGAGGAGGAGGAGGAGGAGGCGGAGGAGACGGAGGCGGCGCCTGGCACGCGGCGCGCGACTGGCGCACACGCGTCGGACCGAGGTGCGGCGCCTCGGGGGCGGCCGCGGCGCCGTCGTACCACTGCCTGGGCAGCGGCGGCGCCGCCGCCCCGCTTGTGCGGCGCTGCGGGAGGCGTGCGGCGGCGGCGTCCTCTTTGGGCGGCGGCGCGCAGCATTCGAGTCCTCCTCCTCCACCTCCTCCACCTCCTCCTCCCTCTGCTCGATATCTCCTCATCATCCTCCCATCCTCCTCACCTCCTCATCCTACCGCCTCCTACTCCTCCTCCTCCTCATGAGCATCAGCATCATCATCGTCATCAAGAATCATCATCAGCATAATCCAGCAATAGCCAGCATCGTCATCAGCAGCATCATCCTCATCATCATCATCATCATCATCATCATCATCATCAGCATCATCATCATCATCATCATCAGCAGCATCAGCATCAGCATCAGCATCAGCATCATCATCATCAGCAGCATCAACATCATCATCAACAACAACATCATCATCAGCATCATCATCCTCATCATCAGCATCATCATCATCATCATCATCAGTATCATCATGATCATCAACATCAGCATCAACATCGGCATCAGCGTCATCATCAGCAGCATAACCAGCATCATCATAAGCAGTATCGTCATAATATGCATCGACATCATCATCATCATCATCGTCATCATCATAAGCAGCATCATCATAATCAGCATCCGCATCATCATAATAATCAGCATCAGCATCATCATCATCATCAGCAGCAGCATCATCATTATCATGATCAGCACCATCCTCCTCGTCATCATCGTCATCAGCATCAGCATCATCAGCAGCATCATCAGCATAATCAGCATCAGCATCATAATAAGCATCATCATCGTAATAAGCATCATCAGCATCCTCATCATTCTCATCATCAGCAGCATCATAATCAGAATCAGCATCAGCATCGCCATCATCATCATCATCATCATCATCATCATCATCATCATCATCATCATCATCATCATCATCTTCATCATCATAATCAGCATCAGCAGCATCATCATACTCATCATCAGCATCATGCTCATCATCACCATAATCACAAGCAGCAACAGCATCGTCAGCATAATCATACTCAGAATCAGAATCGGCATAGTCATCATACTCAGCATAAACATAAACATCAGCATCATAATCAGCATCAGCATCAGCATCATCATCATCATCATCATCATCAGCAGCATGACCATTATTATTGCGCCACCTGCTCCCTCCCCCCTCCCTTCTCCCCCTCGCCTCAACCTTCTCCCTCCCTTGCCCTCCGTTCTACTCCTCATCCTCCTCCTCGTCCTCCTTCTCTTCCGTCTCCTCCTCCGTCTCCTCCTCCGTCTCCTCCTCCGTCTCCTCCTCCGTCTCCTCCTCCTCCACCTCCTCCTCTTCCTGCTCCTCATCCTTCTCCTCCTCCTCCGTCTCCTCCTCCGTCTCCTCCTCCATTTCCGTCTCCTCCTCCTCCTCCTTCTCCTCCTCCTCCTCCTCTTCCTCTTCTCCTCCTTCTCCTCCTCCTCCTGCTCCTCCTCCTCCTCATCATCATCATCATCCTCAGGAGCTCGGCTACAGAATGGAGTCACCCCAGGATCACTGAATGTGCGGAACAGGTGTAACATTTGCGCAGGTCTCCCCACATTCTACGCACCTCCCCATAATCTTTCTAAAAAGACAAAGGTACCTCCATTCCGCATCCGATCTACCAATTACTTGGGTGCTTCGCGGCGGCGCGCAAGATCAGGGGTAACATCCCTTGGCACGCGTACGGACATAGTAGTATTGTGTGCCTATTTTGGAAGCGCATGCCTGACCCGAACATATAGTACAGCTTCTTGTAGCGCATCGATTCCCAAGCGGTGCGGCCAAAAAGCGCCCGCCACGGAGCTGATCGAATTCCGAGCATGCGAGTCGCCATTGCGTGGCAGACGCACATCAAACATAGAGATTCTCAAGTGGCGCCGAAATAGTATCTCTGACTGCCCACTCTCCGCGCCTTGCGACCGTGGCGGATGTTATGATCCTCCCAGGGGCAAGAACTGCAGAAACACTAACTCCCAGAGCTCCGCGGGGATTTGTTGGATCTGCGCTGTACCCCCCTGGAGGTACCTCTGGCGCCGCCACTGGCCCGGTCCGCGCATCAGGGAGTGGGGTCCAGCGCAGATGCGAGAAATCCGCGCAGAATTACGCCATGTATGGTTCCGCAGGTGCCTGCCCCTCGAGAGGATCACTACATCAGCCACCTGCTGGTCGGAATGTGTGTGTGAGAGGTGGACAATCAGGGCAATAGCATTCGAATGCCAAGACAAAGCCAAAGACCCGACGGCATCGGACCGGGGCGAATCGCGGCGCTCTGAGACCCGACAGCTCTGGAAGCTGCATGGGGGCGCCGCGGCGCCCGGCGACCCCGTCCCGCAGCGTGGCCTCCGGGGGGTGCTGCTGGGGGAGGCGCGGCGACTGTGTGCAACCGGTAGTGTCCTGTGGGGGAGACTCCACCCCCCCTTCCTCCTCCTCCGCCCCTCCTCCCCTCATCCTCCTCTTCTCATCCTCCTCCCTCCTCCTCCTCCTCCTCCTCCTCCTCCTCCTCCTCCTCCTCCTCCTCCTCCTCCTCCTGAAGCAGGCGCCAAAAAACAGCCAAGATCTACTCCACGGAGGGGGGAAGGGGGGGGTGCGAGGGCCCGCGCCGACCGGCCGAACAATGAGTAAAAAACGATCACCTGAAAGGTCGACAACCTTGCCTCGTTTCGCCCCCCGGAAGGCCCCGTGGGGCTGTCCCCCTACAGGCGGATTTGGGGCGAGAGTTGAAATAGTCAAACAACCCACCCACCCCAAAAAAAATAGTCAAAAATTGACGAAAAGTCGTGCCCAGGCTATTTTTGTAGTATTTTTGAACGTATCCCTCCAGTAGAGGAACAGGCCCCATTTCATCCTAGCCCTGCCCGCCCCAGATCCCTCGACCTCTCCCCTGGACCAGAGAAACTGTATTCCAAAACCCGGACAGCAGGGCGCCCGACAGGCGTAGAAAGGCCTGGCGAAGCACTCTGGGAGGACCTGGAGAGAGAGCTTCCGGAGGTCCTTCTGAAGCGCTTCTCCCTCGACCCCTCCCCATCGACCAGAGGAACATCTCCCGGACCCTCCATCCTTGCGCCTTCGCGACGCGAAGGGGCCTCTCCCTCTTCCGGGCGGAGAGAGGAGCCAGGAGCGGGGCCACATCGGATCGGGAGAAGCCAGAGATCTCCGCGAGCCGCGGCTCTGGAGGACGTGTCGGCGGTGGACAAGCCTCCCTTTCGTAAGCTTAGGTCGGGCCTGTACCTCTACAGGGGGATTCTGGAGGAAAAATTAAACAATCAAAAAATACTCCCAAATGGTCAAAACTAATACTTTTCAAAAAGCGTCCCCAGACTGTGTTTTGACTATTCTTGAATAACCCCATGCCCACGATAATAATGTACCCCACCCCCCTTAAGTCGTTAGAGTTTGTTATCGTCGACCAATAAGGAGTTTGGTCGGGGGCGCGGGGGCGCGGAGGCCGAACTTCATTATCACGGGAAAAGTTCGCCATCGAAGTTACTTCCTTCTTATGTTGAGATAACAGCATCAAGCGAAGCGAACACGTTGTTTCAGGATGTCTCAAGCGAAACCAATGCCCTTCTGTCTCTTTGTAGTTCTTTCTGTATATCTTTCTTTATTTCTCTGTCTCTCTTTCTCTCTCTCTCTGTCTCTCTATCTCTTTCTCGTTCCTGGCCTCTCTGTCTCTCTCTCTCTGTTTCTCTATCTCTCTCTCCTCCTCCTCCCCCTGGCGCCCTGAACTTGTTTATCGCTGGGGTTGATTATCCAGGGAAAACGAGGCACGTGAGCTACCCTACACGAGCACTTACAAACTTTAATCTTCATAAAGCGCTTGTACATAAAATTTAATACATTTGAATATTCAGATTGTTTGTTTTATCCTCCTTTCCTCTTCTCTTTATCCTTTTCATGTATTATTCTACTTTACTTTTTAAATGTATCTTCTCTCTTTAAGTCATTCCTTTATGTTTCTTTATGATGTATCTCTCTTTCTCTCTCTCTCTCTCTTTCTCTCTCTCTCTCTCTCTCCATGCCCCCCCCTCTGAACTTTTTTATCCCTGGGGTTGATTATCCATGGAAAATGAAGCACATGAGCTACCCTACACGAGCACCTAAAAAAATTAATTGTCATAAAGCGCGTGTAAACAAAATCTAATACATTTGAACTTGAGATTTGTCCTTCTCTTTCTCCTCCTCCTCTGTTTTTTCTTTTTGATTTTTTTTCATTTTTCTTGTTCATTTCTTATTGTTTATTTTTATTGTTGTTTGTGTATATCGCTTTCTCCATTCCTCCACCCGCCTGAACTTTATTATCGCCGCGGTTGATTATCCAGGGACACCGAGGCGGATGAGCTATTCCGAGGATGTCTCAAGCGAAACAAGCATATACTCGAGGATGTCTCAAGCGAAACAAGCATATACTGAAGGATGCCTCAAGCGAAACGATACGTTTCTTAAGCGAAATAAGCAATAGTTTGACGGTGTCCCAAGCGAAATAAGCAACAGTTTGTGGATGTCGCAAGCGAAAAAAGGGATTTGTCGAGGATGTCTCCAGCGAGATGAGCCATTGTTGAGGATATTTCTATGAAGACTAAACGCCAAGGATGTCTCAAAACGTGCTCGGCTTGGTCTCCTCTTGATCATCTCTTACTTCGAGATTATGCTGAGGTCTGGTGGGCTACTTTGATTATCTCCCCCTGAACCCCGAACTTGATTATCCCCTAGTGTTTATTCTCGAAGGTTTAGGGTTAGTCCTCCTGTAGAGGGACAGGCCCGACTTTATACTAAACCTCCCCTTAGTGAAAACGGCCTAGGACCGAAACCGACGGACCTGGACCCGCAAAAATGACGGCGCGGCGCCCTCTCGCGAGCCGAAAACAGCCAATTCCTTAATTGACGCGTTGAGGTAGGAGAACTACCAACCTCCGAATGTGTCGGGCGCCGCTGCCGTCTCACTGCGTTCCGTCACCCGCAGAGCGCTCCAGAGAGCTCTGGAGCGATGCATCCCAATCTCCTGGACCCGGTGTAAGATAGGAAGACAAACTGCAGAAACATAAACGTTGGGAGGTCCGCGCGGATTTCTTGGATCGGCGCCTGAGCTCCTCCTACCTGGCGCGCGGAGCGCGCCATGGGCGGCGCCCGGCTGGTCCAGCGCCGATCCAAGGAATCCTGGCGGACCTCCGACAATGTATGTGTCATGTGCTGTTCTGTGTTTTGGGCACAGCATGGATACGGGAACAGAAGGGTAGTTACGACGCCCAACGACAAACACATGTTGTCTAAAACCGACAGCGGCCGCTGTTAGGCGGGCGGCTTCTGCCTCAAATGGACCACGCCTGCAGCGACGCCGACAGCAAACCCTCTTCAAGATTGGCAGGAACTGCTGTCAGTCCTCGTACCAGCTCTTTCTGTACAAATCTCGATCGGGCCGAGACCTGATCCCAGACGTGCGAAGTCCCCTGATTTGTTCACTACGCGGCCCCCAGGAATCCCGACCCTTTCCGCGCGGCTGGCATACTTGTTTGACGGTTCTGAGGCCCCGCGAGGGCCCCCCGAACGTTGCCCCTCACCTCCTCCTCCTCCTGACTCCTCCTCCTCCTCCTCATCCTCCTCCTTCTCCTCCTCCCTCTTCCTCCTCCTCCTCCTCCCTCCTCCTCCTCCTCCCACTCCCCCCTCCCCCCCTCCCCCTCCCCCTCTCCTCCGCCTCCTCCTCCCTCTCCTCCTCCTCCTCCTCCTCCTCCTCCTCCTCCTCCTCCTCCTCCTCCTCCTCCTCCTCCTCCTCCTCCTCCTCCTCCCCCTCCCCCTCCGGGAGGAGGCGGCAGGCGGGACTCTCCCCGTCCTGATTCTTGTCGCGACGCGAGCCCCGGAGATCCGAGGCCTCGAAAAAAAACTAGACATCGCGAACCACCGCGACTGGAGCCCAGGGGCACCCTCTTCCTGCCCCTCTCGTCGAGCCGCATCGACCTGTGGGGGCCCCGGGGCCCGCATCCGGGGGCGCTGGCACGCCGGCGCACACAGAAAAAAAAAGAGAGAACACTTGGGGCGCCAGGAGTTCCAGGGATCTCTGCTACGACGCGAGCCCTCCTCCTCCTCCTCCTCCTCCTCCTCCTCCTCCTGTTCCTCATGTTCCTCCTCCTCCTCCTCCTCCTCCTCCTCCGTTTCCTCCTCCTCCGTTTCCTCCTCCTCCGTTTCCTCCTCCTCAGTTTCCTCCTCCTCCTCCTGCCCTCTCCTCCTCCTCCTCCTTTCCTCTTACTCTTCCTCCATCTCCTCCTCCGCCTCCGCCTCCTCCTCCTCCCGGACCCCGCCGGCCTTTTCCGCCCGGCCGCCGGGGTGCCACCGCGCCAGGCCGGCGTGGTGGAGGCCGCCGTGCCGCGCAGGCTGCGGCGTGCGCCCGTGCCACATGGCCGCGGCGCGCTCTGATGGGCCTGTTTTCCACCACCACCACCACCGTAAGTTGGAGGGGGAAGGAGGTGGATGAGAAGGAGGAGGAGGAGGAGGAGGAGGAGGAAAAGGAGGAAGAGGAGGAGGAGGAGGAGGAGGAGGAGAAGGGGGGGGGGAGGACCCCCTCCCTCCCCCCTCCAACTTGGGGTGGTGGTGGTGGTGGAATACAAGCCCATCACGCTCGGAATCGAGAAGAGGCTTTTGGGAGTTGTGGGAGTGTCGGGGGAGAGTCTCGCTCTCACCGGCCACGTCCCATCCGTACAAAGCTCAAGCTGCCAGGCGGTAGCCTTGACGCTGGGCGGGGGAGGGCAACAAACTAAACGGCGGAAAAGGCGGAGGACGAAGGGGCGAGAAAGAGGGAGAGAGAGAGAGAGAGAGAGAGAAAAGGGAGAAGAAAGAGGGCGGAGCAGGGGCAAGGAAAGAGGAAAGAGGTATGAGCTGGCGGCCACCTAAGCCTTCCCCGAAGACGCAGAACACCTCCTAGAAAGCAAGAGGGTTTCCGAGGAGACCCGCCGCCTTCTGAGAGGACCTTTTCCTTCTCACCTCCCCCCCGTTGCTCGCCGCCGAATGGGGGGGGGGAAGAGGCAGAAGTGAGGAGGGAAGGCAGAGGAGGCAATGACAGAGTGGGCGGGAGAGAGCAGGGGAAGGAGGGAGGGAGGAAGGGAAAAGGGAGGGTGGAGGGAGGAGCGAGGAGGTAGGGCAAGGGAGAAGGAGGCAGCGAGGCAGCGGGGAGGGCAAAACGTCGAGAAGAGAGGGCAGGAGAGAGCAGGGGCAAGGAGGGAGGGAGGGAGCAGGGAGCAGGGAGGGCGGAGAGGGAGGAGCGAGGAGGTAGAGGCGAGGGAGGAGGGGGCAGCGGGGAGGGGCCGACGGTGAAATGGCAAGCGAGGAGCGAAGGAGGCGAGACGACCAGCGACGCGTGAGAAGGTAGGATTGGCGTGGGTTTGGCATGTCCCCCAACAAGAATTCCGGACGAAACACAAAAAACAAATACCTAGACATACCAATGTTACACTATAGCTACTAACACCAACAACAACAGCAACAACAACAGCAACAACAACAACAACAACACCACCACCACCACCACCACCACCAACAACAACAACAACAACAACAACAATCATTTTACCCGAACGCTCAGTGTTCTCCCCAGTGCCAGGGTTTTCATGCGACGCCAGCCAATACCCCCACTTCGTGGGGGGGCAATGCAAGCTCTACCAAACATCCACACGACTCTCGGGAACCACCCACACCCAGCTTCCCGCCCTATGACGTCAGGACACTTCACTTCGTGGCGCGCGGACGATCGTGGATACTACACTGGCGTGGAGTACACACCCGCAGAGGTTGATCACTTGTTTGGGCCCCGCATGTGCCCCGCATGGTGCATTTGTTGCGTATGACATACATAGTACAGAGAGACAGAGAGAGAGAGAGAGAGAGAGAGAGAGAGCAAGACAGAGAGCCAGTGGGTGGATTTTGATATTTTTCGGATGAGAAAGTCTTGCGTTTGCATATGTTTTCGGAACATCGCATCTTGAAATTATTGAAATCACATTATGTTTGGCAGGATGTCGGCACGCGCGCGCGGCGGCCGCGCGCATGTGCACTTCGTGTCATTTTTTGCAAGGGATGGTGGCCCTCGTAGGCTCGCAACCGTTGTTGCAGAAGGTCGAAGCACCTGAAAAGGTTCCTCGCAAAGGCCCTTTTAACAGAAATGATTAAAATCTGGTGGGTTTCCTAGGAATCCGCAAGAGCGCGCGGAAGGACATTTTGACAATTTGTTCTGAGAAAACCATTGGGTTTTTGATGTTTTTATGTTAAAATCGTTACGAAACCTAAGGTTTTGGAAGGATTTCGTCTTGCGCGCACGAATGTCCACTTTACCTTATTTTTTGCAAGGGATTCTTGCAATTTGATCAAGTAAGAACAAGAATTTTCATTTTATAGTGTTTTTTGCAAGGGAAAACGGATTACAACAAAACAACCGGATCCGGACACAATCCACTTTTCTGAAGCTTTCGCTAGAAAATGAAGGAAATGAGGCTGCGGCCTAGGTTTTGGAGGGGGGTCGCGCACCAGGGGTCTCAACAATAATATTTCTTTAGAAGTAATAATATTCAACAGCAACAACCATCTTGCGAACATCGGATGTAACAAGCAACTGTGGCCTTCATGTGCTTTCCCCTCTCCCTCGCACCCGCCCGCGAAGTCATTGGACCAACCCCCTTTGGGGGGGATTCGTTTCATACCAGCTCCTGGGAGAAGGATTCGGTACTCTCTACGCGCACCACATCGCCACGGACGCCAAACGTGCTAACGCGCCCGCGGGCCAAGGCGTCTCGGAGTAAATTGAGGAGGTGTCGAGCGGGAGCCGTTGTCGTCGTAGCTGCCCCCCCCCCACTCCCCAACTTGAACCAATTTCGAAGAGGATTCGAACCCCGAGCTTCGAAGTTTCTCTAGCCAGGGCTTTTCGAAATAAATCGCGCACAATTGTCGGGCAAAACCTGCTGTCATCGTAGCGGGGCGTCCACGAACGTGCGTGAATTGTGAGGATGTCTCGAGCCAGAATGCAATTACTGAGTTTCGAGGCCTCTCTGGCCAGATCGTCCCGGCATAAATGGCAAGGAAGTGTCGAGCGGGAGCCGCTGTCGCCGTCGATAGAATTCCACGAACTTGCATGAATTGCGAGGATGTCTCGAGCCAGAGCGCCGTTCCTGGGCTTCGAAGCCTCTCTGGCCAGAGCGGCCCGGAATAAATCGGAAGGAAGTGTCGAGCGGGAACCGCTGTCGCCGTCGCTGGAATTCCACGAACTTGCATGAATGGCGAGGATGTCTCGAGCCAGAGCGCCGTTCCTGGGCTTCGAGGCCTCTCTGGCCAGAGCGGCCCGGAATAAATCGGAAGGAAGTGTCGAGCGGGAGCCGCTGTCGCCGTCGCTGGAATTCCACGAACTTGCATGAATTGCGAGGATGTCTCGAGACAGAGCGCCGTTCCTGGGCTTCGAGGCCTCTCTGGCCAGGGCGGCCCGGAATAAATCGCAAGGAAGTGTCGAGCGGGAGCCGCTGTCGCCGTCGCTGGAATTCCACGAACTTGCATGAATTGCGAGGATGTCTCGAGACAGAGCGCCGTTCCTGGGCTTCGAGGCCTCTCTGGCCAGGGCGGCCCGGAATAAATCGCAAGGAAGTGTCGAGCGGGAGCCGCTGTCGCCGTCGATAGAATCCCACGAACTTGCATGAATGGCGAGGATGTCTCGAGCCAGAGCGCCGTTCCTGGGCTCCGAGGCCTCTCTGGCCAGAGCGGCCCGGAATAAATCGCAAGGAAGTGTCGAGCGGGAGCCGCTGTCGCCGTCGCTGGAATTCCACGAACTTGCATGAATTGCGAGGATGTCTCGAGACAGAGCGCCGTTCCTGGGCTCCGAGGCCTCTCTGGCCAGGGCGGCCCGGAATAAATCGCAAGGAAGTGTCGAGCGGGAGCCGCTGTCGCCGTCGATAGAATCCCACGAACTTGCATGAATGGCGAAGATGTCTCGAGCCAGAGCGCCGTTCCTGGGTTCCGAGGCCTCTCTGGCCAGAGCGGCCCGGAATAAATCGCAAGGAAGTGTCGAGCGGGAGCCGCTGTCGCCGTCGCTGGAATTCCACGAACTTGCATGAATTGCGAGGATGTCTCGAGACAGAGCGCCGTTCCTGGGCTCCGAGGCCTCTCTGGCCAGGGCCCGCCGAAGTAAATTTCGAAGAAGTATCGAACGGGCGCCGTTGTCGTCGTAACCGGGCCCGCAACGGCAGACATACACAATCACGCCCCCGCTCGAGCGGGAGCTCACAGACAATGAGGCCAACGTCGAGGCGAGAGCGCCTGGGCAACTTTCCGGATATCAGCAAAACAACTCTCTAGAAATAAGTGCTTAACAGCAGCAACAACAACAACAACAACAACCACAACAACAACAACAACAACATACAACATACAACAACAACATACAACATACAACATACAACGTACGACATACAACCGTACAACCAACCGACCAAGCGACCAACCAACCAACCAACCAACCAAGCAAACAACCAACCAACCAACGACAACAACAATCATATTAATACGGTTCGCTCTTATCTGCTCACGTGTCATTCAATATGCGCATCCCAAACCCTGGAGACCCGCCCTCTTCGTCTTCGATCGCGCCCCCTTTTGGGGGGTACACCTTGGGCGATGCTTAAGAAAACCTAAGTTTTCGGCCAGAGTCTCGATTATTCTTAACGTTTCAATGTAAATCCTAAGATTTCAATAGAAATGTTGGGTTTTTACGCAAGTTCTGAGATTATGAATTTCTTAACCCATGATTTCTTAAGCATTTCGCAGGGTGTACATTCATTCCCTGCCACGCGTGATTGGCGAAAGCCTTGAAAACGAAGGGTGACAGATAACGGGGGGGAATGAGGGCGAAGGGATCGGGGGAAGGGAGGGGAAGGGGCAAGAAGGAGGAAGGACGATGATTTGCGCTGCGGGTGGCGACTCAGCTTGCGCCATGGTTTGCGCCAGCCACTCCAACACAGATCAACACTAAGTTTCGCCATGTGTCGCGCCATAAACAGCGCCACGTGCCACCACCTTGAAAGAACATATCGTGGATACCCCCACGGGGGGACGTACAGCTGCGAACTGGTGTCAGAAACAAATTTCGTGGAACCCTGAAAAGAAGCGGGGTGTTGGGATAGTGGGGCGGAAAGATAATGAGAACTGCAACCGTGTCGAAAGGAGCGCGGGGATGTGGAGTGGATTGGGATGGGGTGGAAGCGGAGGAGGAGGAGGAGGAGGAGGAGGAGGAGGAGCGGCAAGGAATGGAAAAGAGGAGCCGGGAGGAGTGCGGAGGAGCGGGGGGCGCACGGAGGATTCTGGAGGAGGGACTGGGAATAATTTGGGAGAAATGCGGAATGCGAGCGGGAAGGGGCGGAGAAAAGGAAGAAATGCGGAATGCGAAATGCGAGCGGAATGCGAACGGCGGCCACGAAGGGCATACATATATGGGGCCAAGAGAGGCGACAGCGGGGCCACAGAGGGCAGAGCAAAGGGGCCACGAAGGTCTCGAGGAGGCCACAAATGGCAAGCAGAGCGACGAAGAAGGGCAGCAACGGGGCCACGAAGGGCATGCATATGGGGCCACGGCGGGCGCGAACGAGCGGGGGCCACGAAGGGCATGCGTATAGGGGGCCGCAAAGGGCAGCGACGGGGCCACTGAGGGCAGAAACGGGGCCACGAAGGGCAGAGGATGGGCCACGAAGGGCGACAGCAAGGCCAC